CTTGCCCTCATGCCCTTTGCTATCACCACCCCCAAGTGGCAGCCGCCCCGCGAGAGCACGGCCTTCATCGGCTTCCTGAAGGAGCGGGTGCACCGGGACAGCAGCGTGGCGCTGGCTCAGCAGGCTGTGCTCCCCGAAAACGCGCTCTTCAGCTCCATCCAGTCCCTGCAGTCAGAGTCGGAGGTACCCAGGCTGGGGGGAACACGGGGTACTTGCTGGGTGCTGGCAAACTGATTAGCAGGCCCCCTGGGCAATTTTTTCCTTGCCTGGGCTGTATCTGGGGATCCAAATGCGATAGATCAGCGCTAGCTGGGACTGCTGCTGGGTTTCTGGAGAAGGCAGCAGGCTGTCCTGGGGCCCTGTGAGGTGGGAGAGGGGCTGAGAGAGCTGGGGTGCCTCAGTTCTTTGTCGCTGGCGGGGATCAGGCCTCCCAAGTCTATACAGGGCAGTAATTCTCTGCCTTGCAACTCTGCAGCCTCACAGCCTGATTGCCAATGTGATAGCGGGCTCCTCGGCACTGGGCTTCCACGTGGGCCGGGACGGACAGGCCTCCCGCCATCTCTCCGAAGTGGCCTCAGCCCTGCGTTCCTTCTCCCCGCTCCAGTCTGCCCAGCAGCCTTCCAGCGGCTTCCAGATGGCGGGAAGGGATGGAGAGGGAGCCCAGCCTCGCGGCGCCAGTGCCATGACAACCTCTGGGTAAGCTGCAGGCTGGAGAGGGGCGGCCGGACACCTTGCCGATTCCTTAAACCCTAGTCCAATTGCCGTCCTGTTGTCCTAGGTGCACCGTGGCATTTGCTTCTGCAGCCTGGGACAGCAAGGGGCATGTTCATAAGCAGAATTAGGCCCAAGGGCTTAGATTGGCCCCAAAGGGCAGCGTTGGGGTTCTGGTGTCTTGTAGCTGCCACAGTGGTGAGAAATCCCTTGCAGGGAAGAGGCAGCTCTGTCGCAGGGCTGGTCACTGTGCATCTGAGGAGATGCTGCGGAGGCCCTGTTCCTGCCCAGCTCGGGGGTGGATCCTGACGTTACAGTGGAGAGGGGCTGGGCGGCATCGGGGGCAGCTGGGCAGCAAACACCACCTGTGTGTCCCGTGGCAGCGCCGATGCGAGGACCGTGAGCTCGGGGAGCAGCGCCTGGGAGGGCCAGCTACAGAGCATGATCCTGTCGGAGTACGCCTCCACCGAGATGAGTCTCCATGCGCTCTACATGCACGAGGTGAGCAGCCTGGAGCTGGGCCAGCCGGAGGGGCGTGGGGCAGGGCTGCGGTGCCCTGTCTGGAGTGACTGGGATGCCAGTGGTGCGTGTGCAGTGTTGGGGAGAGGGTGTGTTCAGGCATCCAGGCTCTTCCCACGCAGCTGACTCACTCGTGCTTTGGCCTGCAGTTGCACAAGCAGCACGCCCAGCTGGAGCCCGAGCGGCACACTTGGCACCGGCGAGAGAGCGACGAGAGCGGGGAGAGCGCCCATGAGGAGCTGGATGCTCAGCGGGATGCCCCCGTCCCCATCCCTCGCTCTGCCAGCTATCCCTTCTCCTCGCCGCGGCAGCCTGCCGAGGAGACGGCCACGCTGCAGACCGGCTTTCCACG